GGAAGAAGCATGGCAGATGGCAGGTTCCCATAGGGAGAAAAACATTCTGAAGAAGGGAGCGTAAGGTAGCTGGAAGAAGCACAGCCATGGAAGCCACCACAGTCTGAGACTGAGGCTACCACCGCCTGAGACTGCTGGTGGTGGAGGGCTACCCTGCAAGCTGTCCTAAGCAAGGAAGTTGTCTCTGGCTCTTGATAGATAGATATATGTATACACTATGCTTGCTAATACTGTAGTCTTGATTGCTTCAGAGCTGGCTTTTGATCAGACTGGCTTGCATGAATTTGATTTTACACTTACTCTTTGGGAAAGCCGCATGGAGTGTGGGTTCATTTTCAACTGATGGAAATAGGCAGCGCCTGTATTCAAAGTACTGTTAGGATCAATGTCAATTTTTCCTGTGTGTAAACTGACGTACTCTTCTTTGCTGGCAGTAAGTATATGAGAACAGGCTATTGCTTGTCTAATTCTGCAGATCTGTAAAGCATGCTCAGTGTAACTTTTTCAAACGCTTGGTATTTCAGTTACATTAGTTGTTTGATAACTGAAACTCTACTATTGTGTTTTAATAGCAATTACTAATGAAATTGTCCTAGCTGTAGTGTTAGGCATATTTCAGGAAGGTTGGGTTGCATGAGTGGAAGTTCAAATATATTGCTGTTCCTCAGGAAAAACTTTTTCTAAGGTTTCTCTGAGCAGCTGGGACAGTTTATGGTCCCTGCATTTCACAGCCCTAGGATGTATATGCAGGTATGCTTTTTGTGTCCAAGCAAAACAAACTATAAAAAGTACGTTAAGCCTTGTTCTACATGAAGGTAGTTGGCTATTGCTAATTCAGAAGATGGACCTTTAAGTAAAGCCTTGCTCTTGCTTAATTACTTTCTCATAATCCTTAAAATGGTTTTGCTGTTAGATAATGGTGCACATTCTCCTGGTCATGTGTAGGCCTGTGGGGTTTGGCCCTGTAATGCTGTTTAATACATGACAACTTCCAGATTAATGGAAGCAAACCCTACTTGGCACATAGAGCTTAATCTTATTAGCTTACAAGAAATAAAAAAAAAAGCAGAAATCCAATACTGTGACATCAGTTCAAAAACATACAGTGTGAGCTAATGCGGAGCCTGTTGGTTTGCAGATACTATCGGTTTATGATTCAACAATAAGTGGCTCCAACTCGTTCTACTATTTCATTTATTTATTTAAGAACAGAGCTGCTGGAACAGCTTTGTAAAGTCATCTACCCTGCATTATAATGGGCTGCTTGTATAAGTCCAAGTTCAGTAGCAGGATATTGCAATTGTAGTTAAACTTTCCTCCTCCTTTTCAGGCTGTGGTTTGAATGACTCTCCTGTAGGACTGGCTGCATACCTCTTGGAGAAGTTTTCTACATGGACTGATGTGGAATTCCATAACTTAGAGGATGGAGGCCTAGAGAGGTAAGCGTTTCCTCTGATGCCATTTTGGATGAGATGACCAAGCCCAGAGTCATGGCTGAAGAATTTTGCCTGAATTGATTCGTGTCACATCTCGACAAATGGTGCAGTGCTGTGCTACAGCACGCAAAGCAGCAAATAGGCCATGCAGGCTGATGGCCTCCCTCCCCACTTTGATCTCCTAGAAAGCAGATACACCCTCTAACTTCTGGGTATTAAAAACTGACTGAAGTGGAAGAATCTCATGAGGACAGAAAACAATGCTGGGAAACAGAACTCCTGTTTCATTTTAATACTAATAAAGTCTCTATGAATGTGCTTTAGATTGATCATTTGTCTACCTACCATTTGCTAGTAAAGGATCATTCTTAGTGTGTGGCAGAAATCTGAGATGAAGTCCCCTTTGAAAATTGCTGAGGCACCTGGTAAGAATGGAGCGAAGGGGCATGTTACAAAAAGGTCCAGTGACAATAGATTTGAACAGAATGCTTGCACTGCATACAGCTACTAATTTCATAGAAAGCGTGCGCCGTTTATAGCACCTGCTGCTGCGATGGCTCTGCTGAAGGTTCATGGAAGCATTTCACATTATGAATAATAAATGGCACAAGCTGTTCCATGTGCTTTTCGGCTCCTATCCTCCCAGCCTATGGACAGTATAGACACCTATGCTGGAGCATAAGGTCCTTGTTGGAGTCTGCCTTCCATGTAGGAGCTAAAACGTTGTGTCCAACAGGCTCTAACGTGCTTAATTGATTACTGACAGACAGCGGGGGAGTAGCACACTTCACCTCTCAACTCTCTTCCTAACCAAGTTAACTATTTTTTCCTGTGACATTTGTTAATTACAACCAAACCAAAGTCCCTGCTAAAGTAATGCAAAGTAGTATTCAGTTCTAACTAAGCAATCTCTGGGCTTACCTGTTCAGGAAGTTTAACTTGGACGATCTGCTCACCAATATCATGATCTACTGGGTGTCAGGATGTATAGTCTCCTCCATGCGTTTCTACAAAGAAAATTTGCAGAAGGGGATAGGCACACAGAAACATGAAAGGTAAGTGTGTGGGGTTTTTTTTAAATATTTTGCCCTGAACTTAATTTTATGGTTGCAGACAGGTTGCTTATGTCTTATAGCTGCTGCAAGTTTCTGAATGCTGAGGAAAAGCAATGCTGTATCACAGTGGTCCTCTGCAGGACAGGTCTGTTGGTTGATGTACTGTGTTGTGCTTGGAAAACACAGTAACTGGGTGAGAATCCTGAACCATCAGGAAGGAGATCTGACAGGAGGCACTGTTTGAGGACCTCCCATTCATGGTGTATCCAACTAGGGAAAAGCACCTGCAAGCACTTCTAGATTTTACTTCAGTTACTAAATTAGCCATGATTGAGTCATACAGTTGGTTTTGTTTATAGTTTTTCTTTTGTAGTTCTACTAGTTTCCTGGATGCAGTTTGCCTATTTCTGCAAAAGATTTAAGTCCTACCTTTGGAAGCAGCTTCAGTATACTCACAAACTACATAATTTGAAAGTCATTAAGACTGATGTTTCTGCTGCACAGATGCTTGAGAGAGCAGCTTGGTTGCATATACTTGTGTCAGCCTGAGTATTAGTGAAGGCTTAAACCTGCCCTGAGGTATTTGCAACCACAGCTCACTGCTATGGTATTTATTTAGCTGTGAAATGATGCTCCCAGGAAGCTGACTCAGTTCTTGAAGCTGTTTGTGGCTACACTGTGGGTAGTATCTTGCTCTGGTTCTGCCTACATGAAATGAGCTATATGAGCTTCTATGTGCTTAGAGGAAAGAGTCTCAAAGTCCTATGTAAAATTAGGCACCCTGTTTTCAGGCTTCCAGTGGCTATGTGCCCAACAATTTTTGTATCCAAGTTTAAAAGTCTGTCTCTTCTGACAATGCAGCTTATGGGTATGGGATATTTAAACCCAGAATGTTGCTCTGTTTGTAACATGTGTGGATCATTCCACTGTCTAAGATTAGTTTTCCCCTCAAATCCAGTTGCTTCCCTATACTTATGAACGTGCAAAATGTTCTGCAGAGTGTGTTTGTGCCCGTTAAAAGCAGGAGCTACGTTACAGGGTGAGGTCTCATGTTCAGAAATGTTTCCTCTGAACTAGCCTAGGTTTACTTGCTATTATTCCTCCCCTTTCCTCCCCCTTTGCAGCAGTTCAAGGTAATTCTTCCCTTGCCTCCCCTCCAGTTGTCCTGCCAGGCTCAGCATGTTCTAGTTATCTTCGCTCTAAATCTCTCTCTCCTGCCCTTGTCAAATTGTGTGTTTTCTCCTCAAAACATGACTCTTGAGCCCGGAGTGCACCATGAGGAAACTCGATACTTACCACCTCCTAGGGCTTTCTTCTCAATTTCCATGCTTCTAACTCTCATGCCCTGTATCCTTGCAAAATTGCCTTAATGTCAACGTATGCAAAAATTTTATTTTATTTTCCTAGGACTGGGAGTGGTGTTTAGTCTTCAAATTTAGGATCTGGAAGTCAAATTTTAATTGCCTAACAACAGTGTGCCTAAATGCTTAAGAACAACATTTCCTTGGGACTTTCCACTTCTTGCAGAGTTAAATGCTTGAAAGATTAAAATTATTCTCTCTCCTCTCTCAGGCTCACAGTACAAGTACCTACCGGCATTGCCTCCTTCCCTAATGAAGTCATGCACACACCCCAGGCTTGGGCCCAGAAGAAGTACACCAACATTGTTTCCTTCCATTTCATGCCTCGAGGTGGCCACTTTGCAGCTTTGGAGGAACCTGAACTTCTTGCTGAAGATATTCTGCAGTTTGTTGGGAAAGTAGAGAAAGAGCAACTTTGGAGAAAGAAAGGAGAATAACTCCCCTAACAAACAGCAGGGTAATTGCTTATAGCTTAGCACATTTACAGGCCTTACTACATCTACTGTAATCCATGTAATTAGATCTTATTCTTGACCAGATGTGAGAGAAGGCAGCAGTATCTCTTAATGAGATACTGCTGTGGGGACCTACTGATTTTGGGTTGTTTTGGGGTTTTTTTTGTTCAGCTAGGCTAAGACAGTAGCATGAAGATTAACTGATTATCTTCTCCCCCAAGCACAGACTTATAAATTCTGTTCTGTTTCTTGCTTTGAAACTGAAAAATACACCTTAAACTAACAACAGTTTAATTGTTGTGAAAGCATTTTTTTTCATGGCAGCAGTAAAATGCGAGTTGGTGTAGGTGTGAGGTTCCTCACATAAAGAACAGGGAACAGCCTAGCAAGACAAGACCTAATTTGCATGAGTGCATCAGTTAATCAGCATTGATGGTCTACAGTACCTTTAAACTAGCCAGCTGGCCACCGCTGCCTGCCTTTCTCTTCCAGCCTGTTAAGCAGCTTCCTGGCTGCAAGGAAGCTCAGCTCCCCTGTGCCAGGCTCCTGGGGCAGCAACATGTGAGGCACAGCTTGGAGTGGCAGCCCGAGTAGCTGGAACACACAGGTGTGTAGCTCAGACCAGAAGGAAGGGTTGAGTGGGAGTAATTGGAGCCAAAGCTACCTCTGCACTGAATTTGTACTCTTAGCTAAAATCACAGCCCTGGAGAGGCTCAAGACACTGTGGCTTTGCACTGCTTCTGCAGGGTATTGTAAATACCTCTTACTAAATAATAATAAAAATTTGACTAATTCAAAATTAAAAGAACCTTGCATTAAAATTTTGAATAATACCTGTCTGTTTCTTTTAAATTTTTAAATAACTGTGATTTTTGCTTGGTGACAGCAGAGAAGCATCAATTCAGAACCTATCGATTCTGTACTGCATCTGTTACAAAGGTCAGATTGAAGGCAAACTGCTCAGAGAAAATTGAGTTTGAAGGGCTGTATGTTTTTGCCAGCAACAAGCCCTCCTATGTGCAGTTGAGCTTCAACCACTCTCAGACTGTATCCAGATGACTGATTTCAGCATGGTTTTTTTTCTCCAGTCACATCTGATAAGCACAGGGAAATATAATCCACCACTAACTCTTGCATGGATTAGTATTATTTCACAATATTAAATGTAATGTAAGCTGTAAATAAATAAGTCACCCCAGTAGAGCCCTGCTCCATCCCACAGGGCTTTAGACTCAAGAACATGGACTAGTTTGTTTCACAGAAGGCAAGTCAGCACTCCCGCTGGGCACATTTGAATGTTAGTGCACAAAGCCACCTGCTATGCCATGACAGAAAATCATTAGGGCAGACAAGCTGTGACACAGCTCTGAGGGGTTTTTCTGACCTCTCCCTACCTTTCCTCTGCCTTCGGTGCTTCTGCACCTGGGTGCCAGTAGGGGAAGGCACAGTAGCTCTCAGGTTTCCCTCCAAGACTGAGCTGCAGCGCTGCCTTAGACCTTCAAGCTGTACGTGAATTCTTTAAGACAGTGAACCGCTTCCAGGTTAGTAGCACTAACTAATTCCACATATACTTGTAAATGCTTTCATTATTAGTCAAATTTCTCATATGCAAAATATTGTGTGGTTCAGGCTGGGGTGTTTTGAATAGACAGGGAAAAAAATATGAGTCCTTCACTTTGTCTAAAATAGACCCTTCTCAGAGAAGACCATCCCCAAACTTGTTTCAGGTTCCCTGTATTAAGAAAAGGTTGCTTATTTAGGAGCAGTCAGCTCACCTCTTCAACAACAGCTGTTCACAGGCACCACTATGCTCCCTCTTGCACAAATCTTGATCTCTGGACATTTGTTTTTGCCTTCCTTCCATCCCCTGTGTGGCCTTGTATTTCAGAGCTGGAGATTATCCTCTCTCATCTTCAGTGCACATGCAGACATCTGCTGTGGTGCTAGGGAGCCCTGCCATATACTGATAGAACTGAATACCTCCCCAGGGACTGCGCAATCACAACACAGATAAGCAAGTGGGAAGGAGGTTTGCTATATGATACCCGCCAAACAGAATTTCAGATGTGAGTAGAAGGCTCAAAGCATTTTCTCTCTCCCTTCTGGAGCAGATCTGCTTGAAGGGGCCCAGCCTGGACGACAGGAGGCACATCGGGACACTGTTGAACGATCTTCGGTTACAGCAGCTCATCCAGGCTCAGTCGCTGCTGAGAGCTGGACACAAAAACAAGCACCTGCAGGACCTTTCTATTTTTAAATATGCCTCGCACTTCTCAGTGGACTGAGACCGTGATAATGAATGCTGGCACTAAGCCAGCATGTTCTCGCCCCGCTCTGCACGCCAGGTAAGCACGCTTCAGCCTGCTGCAAACATCAGCTGTCCACACTGGCAGTTTTACTTGGGGTAGAAGATAAGCACCGAGACACTAAATCCAGCACAAAAATGGGTTTGATTATGCCTTTTATGTTCAGATTTTTTTCTTTTTCAGACAGTAGCTAGACTTTAGAAGCTTAAAAATGGTAATTAAAGGCTTGTTATGTAGCAAAGGTTGTTCTGAATTCTGATGTCACACTTCCCAAACCTTATTAAGCCCACAGCTAGCAGCAGCTGTTGTTCATCACCTGCTTATCTATACTCAGATACAAGGATTCAGTGAAATACTACAACAATGTGAAAGAATAGAAAATTCAGCTATATGCCAGCTGTAAAGCCTGCCATCATATCCCCTCCCCTTTTTCAAAATAATTATCTGTTTTTAGCAAAACACAGCCAACTCTGCTGCCTGTAGTGCCAGATTTGATACTAATGAAGTGTCTGTGGGCTAGGGATAGTATCTGCATCTCCTCCTGCAGGGACCAATTCTCCCACGAGCCTGAGATTTGGATTTGATAACCATCTTGAGTGAATCCAGACTCACTTCTGCTTGATAGACTCTCTTACTGGCCAACAGGCCATTATTTGGTATAGTATTACAGTCAGCAGTGCTGAAGTCAGATAATCAGAAATAGTTTTAACAATTTTGTTCGCAAGTTAATGCCTATCAGATTACTGCAACAGTAATAAGCAGTAAGAAAGGGCTCCCTGCTCTGTTGCTCTTATTAAGCGAGCCAGCTGAGTACCTGCAGTTCAGACAGTAAATTCCTCTAGCAAGGCCAAAGGTGCTTCTGTTGGGCTGTTTCTTAGGAATAAGGCTCTTTGAAATAGTAGCTTCGACCTTCAGGAGAACCCAAATCCGGTGACGCTCTGATGCTCAAAACATTTTGTTTTGCTCCAGAGGCATTTCTTGGTGAAGATTCCACTTCTGGACCAAAGTTGTCCCAAAGTCTGTGCTCAAAGAAACTGCCACCCGAAAAGCCACTCCCTGAGTTGCTCCAAAACATGCATTTATCCCACACTGAAACCCGAAGTAGCTAACCTGAAGCCTGCTTTTTAATTAGCCAGCTGCAGCCCATGAAGAGTCTGGATAAGAGGTTCAGAACCATCAAGATGCCACTGATAAGTAAACAGAACTTACACGCTGACCCCCCAGACTGAAGTGCTTTGGAAAGTATCTGCTTCTGGTATGGAAAAATACAAGTAAGGTCATCACCTTCTCATACAGCTCCAGCTAAACTAACTCCCACTACAACCAAATTTGACTTCTGATTTCTAAAACTACAAACCATAAAGTCCTGAACCATCCAAGCCACTCTATGCGGCCTTTGGACATCCTATGCAACTAAAGACGACAAGACTTCATGTACATTAAATGAAAAAGTTGGTCATTACTCAAGATGATGAATGAAAAAAAATGAAATCACGCTTTCATATGAAAAAGCAAGTTAAACCATTTAGTGAAAAGTAGAGTGTGTTAAGTCTAGCTTCACAGGTCTAGATCCATAAGGGGCACTATTCATCATCACCGAGTCAGCAAGAATCATTTAGGGGCAGGGATCAATTGGTACAAGACAGTCAATCAAACGTACATTGTGTTTTACAGAAGGTGCAATACATAGTATGCATTAAATGAAGATACATTTTTGTCTGAAAGGGGAATGGAAGGATCCTTCTGGATACTGTGGGAAGTGACAAGGAACAAATCCATATTGATTTCAGGGTAGCTTATTTTAAAACACTGAGAAATTATGCCACTTGTTTTACTTGCTGTAATAGCACTTTAAGGAACATAACTCACACTAAAACCATCTTGCTTAGGATTAATTTTCTTTCATGGAAGAAATATCCTGTGCAGCGCCAGACAGCCCTGATGGTGTTTCACCAATGCTGCTAGAAGAATTAGCCCCATTACAATTGTCAGTTGTCTTCTGGAGACAGATCTGTGCTGAGTGACAGCTCTTTCCCCTAGACAGCTAGATGTAGTCCAAACTTCAGTCTTCAAAATACCTTCCTGATTGGATTTTAAGACGTTAAGGACGCTCGTGCTTTCCCTGTGTTTAATAACTGAATGTTTGCGGTTTTGAGGATAACACAAATCATACATGGGATTTAAGTGATGAGTTTCCCTCACTTAAAGATGAAAGATAATGAAAAACAATCCCCCTTCGCAGCAATGGTTCAAACCACTGCAGATGATCAGTGCAGAGGGAGTACAGTACTGAGGAAAGGTGAACAGAAACATGAGGAGATGAAACTACACTCAGCCGCCCAGCTACCGAGTCAAAGGTACCAACATGACAAACGCAAGGGTACGTGAAGACTGACTCACGACTTTCAGCAGCACGAAAGAGGCGCAAGGAGGGAAACCACCCGCTTCGCCTTGCCTATGCTGCCTGTCCCAGCAGCTGCAAGGGGCCCGGCATCCTGCCTGCAAAGCCTCCTGCCCCCAAGGCTGAGCCAGGGGCTCCGGCTGTGCCAGCAGCCCGGCTGTCTGCCCCTCGCAGCAGCAGCTGCAAGCGCCTGCTTTGGGCCCAGGGAGGGCGGTGAAAAAAGAAACTGCACACTCAGCTCTAAAATTCCTCCCACTGGTATCCACATCCAATGCAAAACCTACTTTTGCCCGTCCTGCTGGTACTGGCTTCCTGGTAAATACCCCATCCTTCTTAACATGACCCACCTGCTGTCGCTTCATTCCTGGTTGCCCATTGCACAAG